ATTTCTTCTCTACTGTGCCTGCAACCAGGCCTCCTCTTGGGTCTTTATTCTGATCAGACAATGTTACAAAGCTCTTTTATGGCTGCCAATAAAAGCCCAAAGGGCATGTAACTTTGCCCAAAGCCTCAGCTTTGTAGGTCATCAAAGCCAGCTCCCCCAATTAAGTACCTACAGGCCCTCCACTCCACAAGCCAGCCGCCTTCCTGAAGGCATGCAGCTTCGCTTGCTCCGTGGGCTGAGAAACTTGCTCATGGCCATGTCTCTTTCAAAAGTCAAGTTACGACTCTGGAGGTAAAGAAAGTATCGTGTTCACAATGCAGACACTTTAGCGTCTACATTGTAGAAATGAAATGAAAATGAAGCTTTTAAAAACATTTTATATTGTAACTAACTCTTATTAAAAACTAATGTTAACTTGAAACATTTTGTGCTGTGATCATCTCTTTTGAGTCTTACAATATAACTCTTTAAAGTATACACATTATCACCCCATTTTATGTGAAAGAAATGAAGCTCAGAAAGTCTGTCCTAGGACTTGGTTAAGGCCCTTAAGTATATAGAAATGACAGCATCTCAGTTTGCGGCCAGGCATGTATGTCCCCCAAACTCATTTTAGCTTGGGGTGCTTTAAAAACATGAGTGAGACACAGAGGAGGATGAGAACACTGTACAATTCAAATCAAAATATGACAACTCCCACCGCACCCCCCGGAAGGCTATCTTTATCAAAGTTGAAGGGCAGGCCTATTGTAGAGGAGAATGAGCAGACAACATTCCCGCCTGAGTTGGATCTGCCAGAAAGCTGAAACTTCAAGCCAACAGCGAGTAAGTGTGCTGGATGATTATCACCAAGGAGTCCTTGAATGGTACCAATGATTCTTGCACTCGGCTGCTAAGTGAAAGGTTGGAGGTTCAAGTCAATCCAAAGTTTCCTGGGAAGAAAAATCGGGCCACCTACTTCAGAAAGATCAGCCACCGAAAACCCTCTGGCACATGGTTGTCGTCTGATACACATGGGCTGCCATGAGTCAGAATCAGTTGAGCGATTAGAGTTTGCTCACAAAGTCATTCACATTCTTACACTGTAATGACTGGGTGACGTCTGGTGAGAAGGAGGCTGCAGGGACATATCATGGGATTCTGTCAACTGCAATTACAATCAAGCAGCCAGGGAAAGCAAAGAAATTACTTAGCAGAATATGCATGATCCGTGTAGAATCTAAATGGAACGGACTCCCAGGGACCTAACAACGACGACAACAACAACTGATCAACAAAATAAAAAACAAAGCAATGAAAAGATGGAAGTGTGAGTTTGGTTTAGTGGAAATAGTTGCCTTCTGTTTAAAACATGTTGATAAATAGTAACTCGAGGGAGGACACTGGGGAATCAATCTGATTTCTGGAGAATTTTTATAGTCAGAATCATGTCCATGTCGATAGCCAGTTGCTACCGAATTGGTTGGCACCTAATTGGTAAAAACGAAGACTGACCTCTGGGGAGAAATGAGAGTAACATTTCTCTGGCTTCCAAACTCCTGAAGATGCCTTGCACAACGTTCTTTCCTCCCTCTCCGTCCGTATGGTCCTCACGTGCTCTTGAGTGCTCCTGGTGGTTCTTGAGATCTGCTGCTAGAACCTGGGTCTGTGAAGCCACTGTCCGAGAGTGAGCGATTTCATAGTTGTTGCCGGGGAGTCACTCCTGACTCACCGGGACCGTAAGGACAGCAGAAGGAGATGCTGCCTGCTCCTGAGGCCATCCTCCCAATTGTTCTTATCTTTGACTTTTATTGTTGCAGCCACTGTGTCCGTCCGGTAGGGCCTTCCACTATTTGGCTGCCCCTCCACTTTACCAAGCATGACGTCCTTCTCCAGGGACAGGTCTCTCCCGACACCATGCCCAATGTCTGTGAGATGAAGTCTGGCCATCCTTGCCTCTAAGGAGCACTCTGGCTGTATTTCTTCCCAGACCGACTTGTTCATCATTTTGGCAGTCCGTGGTGCATTCAGTATTCTTGGCCAGCACTGTCGTTTCTTGGTTAAGCAACTCTAAAACTTCACTGTGCGTGAGAGTTGTTTTGAGCCGGGAGGCTCTTGTTGTAACTACAGATTCCTGGACCACTTTCAGAAAGCCAAATTAAAACAGGTGTAGGGTGAGAATCTCATAATGTGTATATTAAATAAGTGAACAATCACTTCCTCTCCCCTTCTCTCTTTCTGAGGACTTCTGGGAAGCTCAGCTCTGTCTCTATAGCTGCGGCCTCTTTAGCTCCATGCCATAGTCTGACCAGCATGGCCAGACTAGGGAGCCCCTGCCTTGCTTTTGTTCTGTTTGTGATGTTTAGGGTAACATGCCCCTGTTTTTCTCATAGTGCCAGGAAAAGAACGTGAGCACAGCGTTTCTACATCTGTAGTCTTGCCAGGAGGTATACAAGCCATCACTGATGCGAGAGGAGGGCTTGAATATTTCTAATCTCTTTGGAAAATTTGCAAATTAAGATCCTTTAGGAGGAAGAGCAGGAAGAATAGCAGCATCTCCTACCCCATCACTTTGATTTCGGTGTTGTGGCTGTCTGACTGGCGGAAGTCCTTTCCTGTGGCCTACATACATCCTAGGGGTTGATCTGTATAGATGGCAAGCATCGTCTGTAGACTCGGGAGCAGTCGGCATTTCTGACTCATCACTACTGCTCTTGTATCAAATGGCTGTTGGGACTGTTAGGATGAATAAAATACAAATCTATGTAAGCATTTTCTAAGAGTCCTTGGAGCATTTTTGCCAAGATGGATGTTTCAGTGGATTACTAAAAATACACAGCGATTATGGAAAGGTTCTTCATCTGTACGTTGATATCACATCGTATCATTCATTCCTTCAGCAAATATGCATGATGGGCCAGGCACCGTTTTAGGCCCCACTTGTCCACAAGAGTTTCGTGCATCTTCTTATTAAACAGCATGGATTTCAACATTTTTACCTAATGTAAGGACTGGGAAGAAGTTATTCTTACGTTTGCACCCAGCTGATTAAAAAAAAGTAATTATTTCTCCAGTAAGGCTACAAGTTAGACCATGTTTATTCTCCCTTAGTTGCAATGCTTGTAACTCTAGTCTAAGGGCCTCCATTCTAGTTGTGTGCTGTGCTGGTGTAGCAAACCAATAGACATTAGTGATTTATGCAATTCCAAGTTGGGCTTTGAGTTAGTTCAAGTTTATTGTGCCAACCCGGCTGATAAACACGTGTGGGGTTAATTGAAGGGCAGAGAGATAAATGGCTTGGTGAGCCTCACCTTTCTATTTCTTGGGTCTCTTGCTTTCTGATGGTCGGACCAGGGTGCAGCTGCCTTAGCCAGTTCCCTGCTTCAGCTGGTAAAGCTCACTTCCTGCAAGACATCCCTGAGGAGAAGCCAGATGGACCTACCCCGATGCAGCCCTGGGTGCTGGAATAGCCATATGGAGACCCCTGCCAGCACTGAGATGCTTACATGTTCACTGATTTGGCTTTCCGCCTGCAGTCAGCGTCATAGTGTGTGTTTTGTTAGATGGAGGAGGACTTTGTGGATTGGTGTCGGGCATGTGGGTTAATGTTGGACTTGTGGGCCTGGGCAGCACTGGGTTGTGATGTTTTCTTGATGTGTACCTAACCTTTATATAAAACTCTCTCTTGTACATGGGTTTCTGTGGATTTGTTTCTCTAAAGTACCCAGACTGACACAGGCTTGCAGTCGCGATTCGGTGGGGATGCCCCTTCCTCCCCTTCTCTGCGCTCCCCGCCCCCTCCCCTGCTCAAGCAGGCAGAATTAGCTCCCACAGAGCTAGGTTGGTGTTTCTTTCCTCACCCAGCAGGGTGCAACAAGTTGGGAAATAACTGAAGCAGGGAGGTGAATGTTAATTGATACACACGTCTTGGTGTTCCAGAGCTGCAGGGATCCTCGAAGTTCCACTCTCCTTTCTCTTCCTTGGAAGGATGTCAGGCAACCTCCGGAATCCCAGTGCCTCTTCCTAGATCACTGCTATGGAAAGAAATACCAAAAAGCTACTCCCTGGTGGGACTTGGGCCAGACACAGCACCCCCCCCTAACCCCCACCCCCCGATCTAGGCTGCATGGAGCTTATTTGGGGCATGTTTATATGTGTGTGCCTGTGGGAGCTGGGGGCACCCGTTTGATCACAGTTTGGGGAGAAGCAGTAACCGGCTTTGGGCCAGGGGAGAACTGATGGTTTGTGGTAAATTAGTCACCAGCTCCATTGAGATGGGCAGAAGGTTTAGATAGGAGCTAGCAAGGCCCCCAAGTCTTTATGATCGGCGGCCCAATTTAGTGACCGTGAAGAAAACCCGCCTCAGTTGTGCTGAACAGCAGTTGGGGTGGGGGTGGGGTCAGTGGGGCTGTATGAATCTAATGCGAGGAGTGTGATTTTTATACAAGTTAACGGCTTTGACTACACTCGGGTTGAAGAGCTCAGGTGGCCGGATAGCTAACTCAGTGATCCTCCGAGCAGATTTGGCTCTTGGATCCGAAAAGCTTCCCCGGCTGCCAGCGGTCTGAAGGAATAGTCCCACCCCCCAGGAGGTGGCCTTTCTTTGCCCTTGCTTCACCCTTTCTGGCTGTCCACAGACATCAACCTCATCTTTTCCTCCCTCATGGCCCAGGGTGGCTCTCCTGGGCACGAGCACCCCCAGCCTCAGAGCGACAACAAGGCACCCGCACAGAATCTCAAGCCAGCCAGGCAGCAGCCAGCTTGCTTCCAGCGCTCAGCCAGCTTGCTTCCAGCACTCAGCCACCTTCCTTTCTTTCCCATTTCCAGTCACACGGAGAGGGGAGTTAATGATTCATCTGCTCCTGGTGACCTCCTGAATAACTGGGCTGCGATGTATCAGCCCGCAGCTTAGCTCCCTCTCCTTCACCCTCTCCCCCTCCCTCTCCCTCGTCTGCTTCTCTAGTTTGGCTTGAATATTTACAGCCTCCTTCTCCGTCTACACGCCTGAACGCCCGAAGGAAGCAAAACCTTGATCGCCTCTCCCCTCCCTGCTGCACCCTGCCCCATTCCTTCCTTTGACATCACCGGGAGACTCTCGGGACGCACACCCGCCTGAGAGCTTGCTGTGCCGCCGCCCTTTCATCCGTGGACTCCCCCAAACGCAGCGATGGATTCCGACTCCGACTCACCTTTCAACTACTCCTGGCCTTCCTTCCCCAAAATGAAGATTCGGCGCCGGGCCTCGAGACAAGGTAGAGAAGTGGTGGTTTGGGTTTCACCCTGGCGGAGGCCAGCCAGACCGCTGGTTGCCCCTCTGCGTCTCGGGCAGACTGTGCCGATGGAAGCGCATGCTGACACAAGTCTGAAGGCTCTGAGGGAGACTTCGCACACTCGGGACGCTTTCGCCTGCCTTTCCTTTCGCTTTGAATCCTAACGTGGTATTCTGGTTTGCGTGCGCGATTCCCTTGGAAATGAGCGGACCTTTAGGGCCGTGTTTTGGCATCACTTACCCTAAGTTAGTTACCTTGACAATAGAGAGGTGGTGTTGATTTCAGCCCGTCTGGGGCTCCTGGGATTTATAGGGAGCTCTGCCTGGGTCCCTTACCCACCTGCTCCTCCTTTTGTGTTTTGTTTTCAAGGATGATTTCATGTGGTTGTTGTTTTTAATGTTCGGCACAGAAGAAAATGGTTCTGTTTCATATGTTGTATTGAATTTAAGTATGTCCATAAGAACAGGTTGGGAAATAAAACAAACGTTCAACAAGGAAGTATGTTATCGCCAGGGGATACAGTCGATCATATATTTGAAAAGTTTATTAGCTGTAATTACAATGCAAGCAAAATCCTTCAATACCAAAGGAAGAAGAGCCGTTTAGCCGCAGTGTAACTGCTAATGGAGTGGACTGATTTCACTTATTCCCCCCATGGAAACTCCCCTCGTGTGGTGCAGGCCTTGGCTCAGCATCGAGCCAGCTGAAGCCCCGTGAGTGCCGCTGAGGGCCCGCAGTGTTGTGGCTGCGCCATCCGCAGGGAGGATCAGCAAGGCCACGGCTGCCTTGTGAGTTTTAAGAGCGATAAAGGTAGTGAGGAGCCCTTGCCATCTGTTGTCTTGTGCTGGAACTCCTGGGGTTCTGTTTTCAATGCCAGGAGGACATTTTTATGAGCTTCCAAGCAGAAGAGGTATCTTTGAAAGCAGGTTGTCTCTGCAGCATAGACCTGTGGGAAAACACCCATTCTCTTAAGAGGGACTGTTAAAAGCTCATGGGGAAATGGAATAAAAATGTTGTGGGCCTTTTCCATGAGCTTTTCTGAAGCCCTTTGTGTAGCGCTGAATTTTCTACTTCCTAGAGGAGAGTGAACTCTAGCCTACCTGTTGTCCACGTTGAGAGTGATTTTGTAATGGTCCTTCCCCCTCCTTCTAAAATAAAACAAGAGGTGTGTGTTTGCTTCTTCTTTGCTGTATCAAGGCCAGCCTTCTGGATAAGAATTGTTGACCATCTAGGAGAGAGAAAGCCAACTTCAGCAGATTTCTTGTCCTGTGCCGCTACTGCTTACTCTTGAAATCCTGTCAGGGAAGAATTAAAAAAATTATATTAGATATAACTACGTTTCTGCTAGTTAGTGTTGATACATTAAACTGAGATCCGTAAGGTCAGCAGTTCAAAACTACTAGCCACTCCTTGAGAGAAAGACAAAGCTTTCTACTTCTGTACAGAGTTACAGTCTCAGAAACCCACAGAGGCAGTTCTACCCTGTCCTATAAGGTTGCTATGAATTAACATTGACTTACTGATAACGAATATGGTTTTATTTTATTTTTGTCTATTTAGGGATAAAAGGCCTCAGTTGATCTATACAACTTACCACTGAAGTGGTTCAGAAGGAAAAACATATACAACATTCGCACAACGGCACAGGTCTGTGCTTGTGAGAGCGAGCAAGTGCACAAATAGAACGAGGGATAGAATGTTAACAATAGAGAGATGGGTGTTCTTTGTGTGATTCATCTTCTTTCAGCTTTTCTGTAAATTTGAAAGTATTTCCAAATCAAATGTTTGAAAAAGCACTGAAATTCCGTTTGAGAGGGGTGGTATGGTGTGACATACTACTTTGGAGTAGATTTTATTGATTTTGGTGCTGTGAGAACTCCTGGAATCCGCTCGCTTAGGACTATGAAATATGCAGTCTTCATGCTAATTTGAATCCAGTTGCATTTTGGGAAGCATTGCTTTCGTTTAGTTCTGTATTTATAGTGTGTGACTAGCTGGATACCTATGTTGTTAGGGACCCAGGCAGTTTGATGACTTGGAAGGTAGGGGATTAGCCATTAGGAAACCAGAGGAAAACCTGAGAGTCCAGTAGAGAGTAGAGATTATATTAATCATGTTCTTGTTTTAAATCCCAAGTCGGAGCATGGCCAGTTCGAGCTACAGCAAAAAGTCATAACATAGCTATGTGTAAATTAAGCCCAATTCAAGTAAAAGCAGGTATCTGGGATGTGAAGATAATGGGCTCTTGGCTCCCCAAACAGAAGACAATGGGAAGAGCAGGGCAGCTGAGAGCCCTGCGAGTTGTCACCCTAGCTTGCTCTTCACCAGCTGATGGGGGCAGCATTGTGAAGGGGGGTTTGGTCTGGGCTGTCATGTCAGCTGACTGGACTCTCAAAATCAGGAGCCCTCACGGTGAAAAGAGGTTTAGAGGTGAATTGGCCTGAGTGCTACTTTATGCTGTAGATGGAAATGATGGTCCTCCAAATGTGACTTGCTGGGGAATTATTCATGTGTTCAACCAACATTGCTGAGTGTCAGACACTACTCTCTGTGTGTGTGTGTGGGGGGGTGGGGGGTGGGGGCAAGTACTCAACCAAACAGAGAGAGTTCTCACTTACAGGAGTCTGATCATTTGTAATGAACCCCAAATCTCCCAGGACTTATGCATGCTACCTTTACAGCAGCAGATGCCCCACGGCACCTGCATTTTCAGCCTAAGGCCCCATGTGAAAAATTCTGTTTTCTTAGAGGATAATCAAGGTATTTTAACCAATCTTTAAAACTAAGGGAACTTGAATTTATTCCCCATTTATTCCCCATTCTCTCCTACCTTCTATTCGTCGTTCTCAGCATCTGGCGTCAGTTTGAGAAAGGTTCTAACCACCAGGGGGATCATGATGGAAGTTTTGAGGGCTTAGGACGCACGGCTATATTAGCCACCCTCCTGCATTTGATCTGGAATATGCTCCTTCATTTCCTGCTATTATGTCCAGCTTCTGTGCACTCTTTGTTAGTATCCCTTTCCTTTTTAATGCTCTATCGTGTCCTTGTAATCACTGTTCTTTGATAGCAACACACATGATAGCACGCACACACGCACACACACAAACACACACCTGCCTTGTTTAGAAAGTGAGGTGAAAATATAAAAAGAGGGCTTAATAGTATGAGAAAATTGGATATAAGAAGAAAATCAGGTTAGCATAAACCCAATGACACATTTAAAACAAATAAACAGTGTAGATCGTCCTTTGAAAGGGAAGAGCAAACATGGTGTCTGAGAAGCCGCGGTGCCCTTGGGAAGGATGATCGTCCCCAGGGGAGTGTGATGTCAACAAAGCAACAATAATGTTCAAACCCAAGCTGCCCGTGATGTCTTCCCGGGCTTCTCCTCAGGTACCCTTTTGTGTTTCACCAGCAGGAAGGTTGTGCTGGGAGCCTAGTGGTTAATGATTGGTGTGGGCTCAAATCCACGGCCGTTCTGCTTCAAGGGCTCCAGGAATGCTTGGATTTTTGTTTTGTTGGTTTCAGTAGATTCAACCAAGAAATGTATTGTTTATTAGTCAAAGATTAGAAAAATATGGGGATTGGACTTTTCCTAAGGTTTCCATACTTATCACTTAATCTGTAAAAAGGTAGATTTTACCACTAGCCATTGGGACACAGGAAATGTTCAAGGGTTCTTTTCTTGGCGCTGCTTATCCACTTGTTTTCTTCTCGCCGCCTCGCAGGCCTCTCTAAGGACAGAACGTGGTTTTCTTTTCGTTTTAAATTTGTGCCAAATGAATCTGCATTTGCTAAAGACGGCAGTGGGCAGTAGCAAGCCCAGCAGCCTTGGAGAGCTTAGCCAGGCCCAGATTTTCGGTAATCATAATCAAAATGACTAACAGTGATGGTGGTAATTTGTTAAAATACTTAACATGGATGAAGCTATAGTCGGTAACTTTACATACTTGAGATCTGATTCTCAAAATAACACTGTAAAATAGCTCGCATATCGGTGTTACAAGTGAGAACATCGAGGCCTAGAGAGTTTTCAAGTTATGTCTGAGGCTGTGCTAGAAAACACAAGGGAGGCAGGACGCTGGCAGCATATGGAAGGAGAAGGAATGAATGACAGTGTATAAAGCGTGTTTCTTACGTGTCCTCTGGTGAGTTCAATGTGATCATCCTCGTCATTGTTTACTTGGGAACGCTAAGGCTCAGAGAGGAGGAAAGAGTTGCCCAAGACGAGAACCAATAATGGCAGAGTGAGACCTAGAACCAAGACACCTGACCGCAGGAGGCTTGTTCTTCCCAGCATGCTTCACTGCCTCCTAGTAGGAATAAAAGATGGCGAGTTTCAAAAGTTAGTTGCCTTGCGTTCAGAAGTCACTATCGTGTCTTACTGTCTGAGCTTCCTTTTCTCTTCCTGTGAATCTTGGACTAGGAATAAAGGTGCTAGAGAAACCTGGGGGGAGAAACAAGGTAAGTCTTAAGCCTTGGTAAATCCATATACACATACAGGTACACATGCACAGCATAGCGTTGGGGCTGGGGACACGTGGACAGATGGCTGGAGCACCTGGTGGGTTGCTGATGAGAGGAAGAGGTGGGACAGATTGAGAAAAAAGCAGGTAGAATCTCATCCATTGTGTCCTGGAAAGTTATCAGATTCATTTCAACAGAGAAAGGTTAGAGACTAAGTTAGAGAGATTGTGAGTGCCAGCGATGGAGATGCAAATCGGGAGACCAGCTTTGGCTTTTTCGTGAACTTAATTAATGTCTGAACATGCTTGGTAAAGTAGAAGGGCAGCAATAAAGAGGAAGACCCTCCAGGAACTCGATGGACACAGCGGCAGCAACGAAGAGCTCCACGACGAAGGTGCAGGGCCAGGCCACGCTTTGCTCTGTGGTCCGAGTGTCCCGATGAGTTGGAAACAACTCAACAACAGCACCATTTCATGTTTTGAGGACAGGCATGTAATCTGAGCAGCAATCTT